ACCACCATTGAGCCTGTTTGTGCCCTGCATAAACGTCTGGGGTTCAGTTTTGCTTCTTTCTGCTTGTGAGGCAATGGACGGGGACCACACGGAGGCCAACACATCCCTGTGGTGAACCTTGCTCTGCAATTTAAGGAGCTGCTTGACCCCAGCTGCCAAAGGCTACTTGTTCTGGAACAAGGCGTGTAGCTGAAAGGAACACCGGCCACTTCCACACCTTGACACGTTAGTTTAAAGCACCAGCAAAGATGGCTTTCTGCAAACATGTGAGATTCTGCATCAGAGTGTGCGCATGCTGGGGTCTCAGCCTCAGAGTACGGGTCTCACTACGACTGTTGGAGCAGCCTTCATGGTGCCTTGCTTTCCAACTCCAGTGCAACTGGAACATGCAGTCTTTCTGTTAGCACTCAAACCTAGTTTGGGTGTTTGGAACATGGTACATTCTGTTTATATTTTGTCTTGCCGTTCATAATTTACCTTAGACAACAACTCTGTCAAGTAACTTATAACCAGATTTGGCAAATTTCTCATAGAAGAGCATATTTCTCATGTAAGAGCCTTCCAGAAAACAATCCTGTTCTTCTGAGATCCACCCCTAAGTTATGCCTACCTCCCAGATGCTTTGGGTCTCAATGAACAGAGAGCAATGAACATTGCAGAAAAACATGGGAGGATGAAATTAACATGAGAAGAGGCATCAGCCTTCAGCTTGAAAGACAATATTGAAAAATCTTGTATTTTTTCAATATGAAAAAATAGCCACGCTCACAAGCTTTGCTCTGCCACAGAGAGCTAGAAATCTTGCTTTCCTGCTGACAGCTGATGTACTCGCACAACACATCTTCTAGGAGATGGAAGCATTGTCAGACCTGGGAGGAAACAAAGTGTGTTTTCTATACATCACTTTGGCTGTCCATAGCTTGCTGGGTTGCTACCTGTGTCAGCTGTTTTCTCCTCTCAGCTTGCCTGAGTAACACAGTTAAATTGTGGCTGAAGTCAGACTGATCTCAGCCCACACTTGCCTTAAAATTGATGTGCCCTTCACACGCAAGGAAGGGCCAGCATCACTAACAGCTCACTAGTTTTTGTCAGACACTTTGGTTTGTCTATTGCCCTCTCAAAAACCTTGCCTTTGTTAAAGTGTATACACTAAAACACATTTTGCACATGCTGCTGATGAGTTACGTACTTAAGTATGTAGAGGCCAGGTATATGGGTAGTATTACCTCACTGATGTCACTCACTTCTGCCACTTTGAGGATGTGGTCTAAGCCATGGCAGGAAAAACGAGGCTGTTTTGACATTCATGAGCTGGTTAATCCACTAGGTAGCCTTCACATGCCAAGAATGTAAGCCTGCATGTTCATTAGAGGCTCCAAACATGGTTGAGACTTGCAATGGAGTTCCTTAGAAGAAAACAAAAACAAACCCCACTCCCAAACACACGGTACTGAGTGTCAGCAATTCTACCCCTGCCCAAATAAGCCTGAGCCAAAAACCAAAGAACCATATGGATATAAGAGATTTCTAAGGCCCACCTAAAATAATTGTAATCTTTTTTTTTTTTTCCCCTGGAACTACATAGCTTTCTTTGTAGTTCACATATTTAGATTGTTTAAAGACAACTTTGGGATTTTTAATGGCTTGCAAGTCACAAGAAAGTGGGCTGCTGATGTAGTAATGCCTTGTGTTTTTGTAACTATGACTCCAGTAAAGATAGCTAGGGAGATTTGTATGAAAGAGTAACAAGCTTGCACTCCAAACAGAGGCTTTATATGCTGCATATAAATTAATGTTAATGTCATGCAACTAGAATAGATGGAGGCAGTCCCTTGAAGAACTGGAAAACTTCTGTGGGCTACCCATAACAAGAGAAACCATTGCCTGGTGATTTCCCTTGCCCAAAGGTCAATGCTAATGGAATTAGTGGTGATACAGAAGATGTGAGCAGCTGAGATGTTCAGAAGTGTATCTCTGTACCTCTGAATAGCTCTGAGAGGTACTACAGCCCTGGGAGGAAACACGGATCACCACACAGGAGTGGCCATAACAGCTAACACCAACTGTAGGGAGGCCAGGCTCAGCAATTTCCTTTCACTGTCAGCAGAATAAAGATGACACGGAGCAGGAATTAAGACACTCTCTGAACAGCGGGGAACATGGAGCCCCGGGATGCTTGCTGCACAGCCAGCTCACAGACACCAATGGGGTAAAGCTGCTGGTCTCTTCTCAAGGGGGTCCCCATTGTGGCTGGAAGATGCCCAGGGACCAAGAGGCACTCCTGGCTCCCTGATCTCTAACTCCAACAAGAGCCAGGCAGTCTGCATTGATTCAGAACAGAACTCAGGGCCCTAACCACTGCATAAAGAAAAAAACAATGACTGCTTCAGGTCTTTTAGCATCTTCCAATGCTCAAAGACACATCAGCAGTGCAGTTCAGTAGCAGGCCACTTAGCTTATCCTCCTCTCACACAATGCTTTGTTTAACTTAGGTAACAGTAACTGCACAATTTTTCTTTCAATAACTTGCCTATTTAGAAGGCAGAGGAAAGGGCGTATTATCCATTCAGCCAGCTTTGATAATGCCCACCTTTTGAAACCACAGCCACAAACAATTTTCATGTAAAGCTTTCGAGGCTGATTGGTGAATTCAGTCAGACAAGCTCTTTCTGCCTGATAGCGCAGTAGCAGGGGTTATTTCAGCTATAATGGTCTAAGATAAATGCAGTTTTACTAAATTAAAAGCATTTCACAGAACTGTGCCAATTCAGTTGCATGTCAGGATGGGAAAAAATCAAAACATTCTGTGAAGATAAAATGCAAGAGCTTGACTTCCTGTTTTCAATTTGCTTGATTTTCTACTTTTATATTTCATTTTCATGGAAAAAAATTTAAATTAGTTAGCATTGCATTGACAATAGCACAAATGAAGGGCTCTGGCATTAGTGAAATGAAATGATCTGGTAGGCCCAAAGAACATTTTAAACTCATTCTATGGATAATTTCAGATCTTCAACTGTCTGATTCAATTTTGAATTAAAAAAATAGAATCAAGCACCACAATTTCTCAGGAAACAGAACGTCTAGCTTCTGATATGCAGCACTGCCAGACTCAGCAGAGAGGAAAGCAAACTGCCTGAAGTATAAAAACTTATCTAGCTTTTGATTAAAGCTTATTCCATATATAAAGCTTGCACTGCCAGAAGACACATTGTACCATACATATTTTGCAAATAAACAACAACAACAAAACTTATTGTTACTTTTTTATTTGTTTTAAAAGAAAAACTACACTGTTAGCAATCCAGTGTGTTTCAGAAGCTATTCTGCATTATACCATGCAGTAGTGGTGCAGCTTATAGTATAACCAAAAGCTCCAGTTAGGAACCATACTGTAAACTCCAAAATGAGAGATAAAAAGCTTCATGTTTTCCCTACAGGTACTCCACTTTCTTGAGAATTATGAATAACTGAGTTTATGAAGCACATGGATGCAGATCATAACAAGTGCTCCCTGTCATCCTCAGTTCCTAAACCAGGAGGAGTGAGCCTGCAGACCTTGTGGGTTTTTGAGACAGCCTTTCTGAATCATTTTGACACACCATGCCATCTTTTTCCATCTAAGACTTCTAAGAAGGCTGCGCCCTCTCCTGACAGTTTAGGACTTAGCAGTAGTGACTCATAAAGCTGGTTTGCTGTGGATAACCAGTTGAGACCTTGGAGTTATCAAGACCAGTCCCACTTCAACTAAAACCTTTACTGCACTACGTAAGAGGGGCTTCGCACTGAGATGGATATCTCAAGATTACAGCGTTTTTTCATAATGTTGTCAGAATAGAAATAACATGGAAGTATAAGACAAAAAAAGGAAACAAGTTCAAAATGTTTGAAGATTTTTAGAACGCTACTCTAGAACAGTCTTCAAATAACACAGTGTCTGTAATCCATGCAATTCTGCGAAGGAAACGTTCATGTGTTGAAAATATAACCTTGAATAGGGTTGTAACTCGTGTTGAAAATATAACCTTGAATAGGGTTGTAACTCGTGGATTCCACTTCATAGAACAAATACATAACACGGCTAATGCTATTATAAAGAGTCAGTCTGCCTTCGTAAGCAAACGTAATCCCCTTCAACCAGCAAAGCTTACGCAGGAATGACTAAAAAAAAAAATCCCACACATCTTGTCAATCATTCAGGCTACGCCTAAGTGAAGATCACCTTCACTTTTTCATGTAGGACACTTACCTCTCATCTGATCCTGCATTAAAGTTAAATGAATTTTACAGACTCACAACTGCATACTGATTAAAGCTTCTGATCCTAGAAACTACTGAACACCACCAAGAGAAGGAAATTTCCCTCTGGTCAAACTGGCAGGGACCATTTGGAAGGATTTTCTGCCTTTCTTTGTAACTTAGGATATGACTCACTTCCTCAAACCATCCGGGAATTTTACTTAACCATTTTCCTTCTATTCTAGGACCTAATTACTGACGCTGCTGATCTTTCTGGCTCTCTTCCTGTGGTACATGGTTGGGCTTGTGGCTCTTCCACACAAGAGCTTTGCATTTGTTTTAGGGTGCAGGGGCTCAGGTTGCTGCCTGGGTTGTTTAGAAGGCTGTGTGTTTATCCAATATGTTCATTCATATCATTGATGCCTCAGTTGTAGAAGATAATAATACAATTAGCTCCTCTAATTATGTTATTTACAATATTGCCACAGGGGTGGGTAACACACACAGCCAATGACCATTATATAAACACGGCTGGTACAGGAAAAGATGCTCCATGGACTAACAGCACACTCTGAGGTATATTTTGGGGCTTTAGAACTTAATGGCTGTTGCCAGATATGGGAAAAAATTACCTAATTTGTCTGGTGCTTTACAACTAAGTATTTCACTTCTTTTACAGATTTTTCTCTTCACCCATACAATCGTAAACCACATTTTACACTGGGTGAAGGTCAAAGTTCTTTGATAGCTAAATTGCCTACCTTCCAGTCCCCTCATTGCTTCTCCTCCTCTCCTGCCAGGTCAGCACAAGCTTTACACTGCATTTCTCACACTAAGCTGGAAAAAAAGAAAACAGCCACCAGGTGGCGAAATGTAACACTCACCCAGCCTCATTAATAGTCGCTTATGATTATCTTAAGCTATTGTAACAGGACTCCTAATGTAATTGAAATATTGTATTAACAATATAATTTTCCCATGCTTCCCAGAGGCCTTATATGTCTTATTAAATTAGTAGATTAATTATAATTACTCTTAAAAAGCATTTGAGGCATTTTTATTCACAAACCCATCTCAAACACGAAGAGTCATACGTACAACCCTGTTTTAAGCCTACCTCAGAAAAATTACTGTGTCTAAATATATGCTTAAGCCTCCATAGGAACAAAGTTTTATTATTACGCTTTGATTGCTATTTTATTATTGTAATTTGTCAGCGTGTTGTAACCACTGTAGTGTTCAGTTTGCTACTGTCAAGGGATGTATATCAGGCTTCGCACATTATTTAAAACCTTGTTTTGCATTTTAAAATACTTGGTGTTTGCAGTTTTGACAATACTTACCAATACAGTGTAAACAGGCATTAGGAATGGAAAAAAGCATAAGAAAAAACACACAGAAGTATGCATGTGGTATTTCTCATGATTTTTATTAGTGGTTTTGCTGTTAACGTTCTTTCATCTATGAGATCAAATCATTGTCTGCTTGTGCTCCTTGGGGAAAAGGGCACATAAAAAAAATATAAAAACCACAGTATCCCCCTGTGTGCTTTCTTGACAGTCTTTCTACCCCTTTTGACTGAATTTGCACAGTAAACAAGTGAACTAAACCACAAAAATACAACCTTGAGAAACCCAGTTCAACTAAAGGAAGATTTGACTAGAGTTGCACTTGAAACTAGCCTATGCACAGACCTTCTCTATGAAATGGAGACACTTATGAATCTCATTTCCCAGAAACAAATTTGTACCAAGCTACACTTTGAAGGAGGCAACTCTGGCAGCCCCCAGTGCTTACGAACTGAGGTTTCAGCTTGACGCAGGCAGGCCCTCAGGGACTCCACGAGGATTAAGTGGTTTGTAAGCTCTGAAGTTCAAGAAGTTTGCCCCCTGGTCACGCAGAGACATAAAAGGTGGAATAGCGATCCTGCTGTCTGTTCCAGAGGTGGATTTGGAAACAGGATTGTGGGATCATATACATGGGATCAGACTACTTCCCCCTAAACTTCAAAGGGGCAAAATTTTGCAATCAACGATTTCCTATGCAGGAATGTTATCCTAACCCTCAAGAATTAGAAATGAAGCCACCTCATAACACAGGCAAAACCAAAATCTCTTCAAGAGATTTTGAGAAGAGATGCTCTGAGCCCTCACCGAGTCCTCACACCAGGGGCACCCATCCTCTGCAGCGCTGCTCCCACTGCGAAGCACTGTCCTCTCTCAGCTCTCCTCCTGCCACTTTCCTCGCTGAAACATTCCGATAGATCCTCCTCGATTCCTCAGCTCTATTTTGGGGGTTCTTTTTTTTTATGTTCCCACCGGTTTGCCGGACCTCTCCGCGGACAAACTCCCTCACGGCCCCGAGCCCCCTCACCGCGGCAGCCGTGAGGGCAGGGCACGGCTCCTGACAGGATTCCCGGCTCCGCACCCGAGCAGCCTCCCTCAGGCTCCACCTTGCGCAGCCACAGGGCACCTCTTAAAAAAAAAATAAGACTTAAATCCCTCACATTCACTAGGTGAGAGCACGGAAAGCACCGCAACACGGGGCTCGCAGCTGCAGACCCCAGCCCGCTCCCTGAGGCACCAGAGGGGCTGTGCAGACTGGGGGAGACCCGAGGGTCCGTGGAAGTTGTCGGGGAGCCGTTATGCGGAAATAACGGCCGCCAGGAGAAAAGAAAAAAAAAAAAAAAAAAAAAAGGAAAAAAAACCCGCTGCCCTCACTCAACATGTCGGCCACGGCTTCACCTCCCTGCCAGCCGCTCCCCCGCCTCACCCCTCGTCCAAGATGGCCGCCCTGCCGCGGTAGGGGAGGCTTGCCAGCACTCAAGATGGCGGCCGCGCAGCAGCGCTGCCGTTTCCCTTAGCGGAGCAGCCGCCACCACCGCAGCATTGCTCGCCCGCTCGTTTATTTATCCGCCTCGCCCGCCCCGGCGCTGCCCGCCTCTCCGGCCGCCGCTGGGAGCGACGGGGGCGGCGGCTGTGCGGGGCCAAGTGGGCGGCGGCAGCGGGGCAGGAGGCGGTGGCCGCCGGGAGGGGGCCGGGCTGCCGCGACGCGGTTCCTGTCGCCGTGACATGGGTTCCCCCTCGATGGCGGCTGCCGCGGGAGGCCTCAGATAACCGGCCGCGTCCCCTCTCCCCTTACCCCACCGCAGCCATGCCCGCCCGGGCCCCGCCGCCCCCCGCGCAGCCCTCAGGTAAGAGGCGGCGCCGCCGCCGCAGCCGCGGTCCCCTCGCCTCGGCGGGTCGCCCAGCTGGGGGGCGGCCGGTTTCCTCCGGGCCTCGGCCGGGGAAGGGCACCCCATACCCCGCGGCAGCGAGCGGGGGATCCCCAGGGCTTGTCCTGCCTCGCCCGGGCCCTGCGAGGGGATCTCCTCTCCGCCCTTCCTCCCTCCCTCCCTTCCTCCCTCCCTCCAGCCGCGCCCGGCGGAGGCTGAGGTGAAAATCCCCGCAGCGGCCAGGGGTCGGACCTCAGCCCTCGGCTTTGTCCCTTGGAGAGCCCCCCGGGGACGTGGGGACAGCCCCAAGGGCCCCAAGGGCCGGGCACGATCGTGAGGTGGCGGCTGAGGGCCGAGGGCTGGGGCCGCCCTGCGAGAGGGGGGCTCGGGGCGTGTGGTGCGGAGCCACCGCTGGGGCTGGCCCCGGGGCTTGGTTTCTGCTGCTCTGCCTCGCCTCAGAGGGGCAGGAGCTGCGTTCGGGCGAAGATGACACTCCAAAAAAAAAGTTATGTGGTGGGTCGGGTGTTATTCCTCAATGTAACGCCGTTCTGAATATCAGCAAAAACGTTAAAGCGCGTATTAAGTGCTGAAATGCATACTGAGCACTGACGCTTCAGTTTGTTGTTGTACGTGGCGATCCAACAAACCCAAATATTCTTCTTAGAGAAGAACAGTTTCTTAAACGAAGGGTTAAGCCCTAGCATTCCTTCAGAGTGTCACTGAGTTGGTTTCTTGGTGGTGGCAGCCCCTTTCGTCCAGCTTCAGCGCCCTGCACAGAAATCAAAACTTTGGGAAGTTTGCTGCTCCATTTGAAGTAAACATCTGCTCGTAAATGAACTGAGGTACCACAAAAAACTTCATTAACAGGAGCTGTACCGCCTTGGTCACATAAGTTTTGTTCCCATGTGTGTTTTATAGCATGATGTGCTGCGTTAGAGCTGATTTCTTCAGCTGCTGAGTTCATGGCAAAGTGAGTTTGATGGAAGTTGGTTTTTTAACTGGGCTGGTCCTTAGAGGTTGAACGTAATTAAAAGTATTTCCTTCTTGTTTTATTCTCTGGACGTATGAACTAGACTCGGAAAACCAATTAGCCTACTTTAAGCCTAAAAACATTAGGTTGTATTGTCAGCGCAGACAGAAGTCTGTAGGCACGCTCATAATGCAGTTGGAGATGTATCTGGAGGAATAGCGTGTTAATTGGGAGAGCCAGGGGAAGAGCTGAAGTACCCATGACTGATAAGTTTATTTTATTTTATTTTTTCAGGAAATCTCTCTATCACGTAGGTGAAAATTAAGAGCATAAACTTGAGGATATGAGAATTGAAACTTAAATACGAATTAGCTGCATAGGAAAGAGACTTCAGAGAACGTGATATGTTGTGGTGTTTCCTTTCCACATGATGTTTTGAATAAAATACGTGTTGTGTGACCTTCTAAGGTCATGTGAAAGCATGACCTCTTCTTTTGACTTCCTTAATTTGTTTATAAGTAAACAATTGAAGGATCTCAGCCTGAATATAGCAATTTGTGCTATCCAGTACTTCTGTTTATTTTTTTGCCATGATCATGGTTTCATTTAGCACAGGATTTCATAGATCTATAAAAATTTAGACTTATTTGCAGTCAATTGTATTTCTTACATATTTATTTTGATTGAGGCAGCATGTGATTTCATGTTTGTAAGTAACCATCAAGAAATGCTTTACTAACTTAAGTTAACGTCAGCATTTTAACACCCTAGTTGCATGAAAAACCCCTGAAACTCTTCAGCACTTTCAGAAGACTTGTCTTTCACAGTGGAAATAATAAACCAGCTTAGACAGACTTCAGCCAACTCTTTGCCCTTGCCTCTTGAAATATTCATAGAGCTCTCCGTGCAGAAATGTACTGGTATCAGTTGGAAAACCAGTGGTAAAGAAACCTGTGCTAGATCTGGTTGTTTGCACGATACTCAGCAGCATAATCATCTTTCAGATACTCATTATCTTTTTCTACAGACTGTTCATTCCTTTCTGTGCTATTGTAGTGTCTGACAACTTAAACTATGTCTTTGTGAATGTTTTACTGCAATGACATGCTAACCTTTTCATGGGGATTCAAAATACTCATTTATGATTTTTCTGGATAGTCCTCTTTGGAAAAGTGCCTCTCTCAGATCCTACTCGTCGGTAGGTTTCACAGATTTTTACTTCAAGCTGCTCCTATGTACACACACACACAAAAGTCTTGAAATGTGCCGTGTTTGAAAACTGACAGTCTCATTTCCAGCAGACTTTGTTCTGTGCTAATGTCTGTAGCAATTAAAGTTTTGGATTGTCACTGCAAGGAATGTTTCTGTATGGGCACCAATTGCAAGGTGAGTTAATGAGTCTGTTTCTGTAAGGGAAGTAATTTGTGTTCGTGTTCTTTTTCTTTAAAAAATCCAAGAGTCATTTGGAAGAACCACAAGGAAGGGAAATCTTCACCTACCTTTAGTATGTTTGAAAGTAGGTACTGGGGAAAGGAAAGATGAAACCTCAGGGTCATATGTCTGTTGAAAGATGATGCAAAATAGATCCTATTCTTTGCAGTATTAGGTGTCCCTGGTTTATTGTGAATGTTTCTTAATATTCTTAGTACAGCAATATCTGTGGGTGGGATAAATGCTGAATAATGTGAGTGAGTTCTTGATAAGTGTGTTTAACTTCCTTCGGTCAGGTACATTTTTGCTTTGTTTTTCTCACCTGCTTCTTTGCACGTTGAAGAAAATACTGGTTCACTTAAAAGCAAGCGAGAGTTTGCAGTAATGGAGGGAAAAACTAGAGTTGTTTTGCTTGTGCTAGCATATTTCCTCTGGCGAGCTTTGTGAGACCCTTTCCTTTAAGAATGCACCTCGAGGCAGTTGTAGGCTGCTCTTTACTTTAGTGTACGTGAGGTTTGAGTGCACTGGAGAACATACTGCTCTGTAAATAAACCTCTAAGAAGAGTTGACGTTAGGTAATTTAGTTCTAATACTTTCTAATCCAGCACCTTTTCATCTTCATTTAGAACAGGTTCCCAAATAACACGTTTCAGGGTAACACCCCCAAATGCATTTTCTCTCAGAGTTGAACGCTGCTGTAAAATGAACTGAAGAAATGTTAAGAATGAAAGCATCCTGGTTATGCATTCCTTACGCAATCTCTCGCTTCATGCATTGTTTGGATGTGTGCAGTAGGTTACGCACAAATGCAGTGTTCCCACAGAGCCAGATCTTAAACCTGGTTGACTTTCCCAGCCAAGCGTGTTTGCCTACATGAGTTTAAAACCGTGCTTGTTCTTATAACATCTTCCCCAATGTCTGTGCACAGATTTAGGTATGGTGTCTTTTTCTGCAGCTGTTGAAGCCAGTCAGTTGATTTGCAGTGAAAACATTAGGTTTGTTTTGCTCATAGCAATTTTGTAAAAATAACCGGGTCTTTTTGTTTTGGGGAAGTGATGCTATTCTCGGTTAAGAGGAGAGTCATGAACAAACACAACGTTCAGGTTCGTGTTTTTCAGATGTTCCTTGCATTCCATGGCTGAGCATAAATGGAATATGGAGAAGCGAAACAGTGCAGCTAGTGAAAGCATGCATTTGACTGCTTCTGTATAATCTGACAAGTAAGATTTAAAGGAAGAGATCTCAGAGCTAGTTCCATTTCCCATTTGTGCCGCCTAACTTAGTCTTCTCGTATGCGATGAGAGGGAGAGAAGCAGTGGCAAAGAGGTTTGGATCTTATATAGGGTGAATTGTCTGAGGATGCCTTGTGTTTACTGCCAGCTTGGGGAGGACAGGAAGCCTGAGATAAGTGCCTGAATCCTGCTGGAAGGAAGCCTCCTGAGTTTTGTTACTTTAAAGTTGCTTTTACATTCGACACTTCCTCATAGAAGGTGTCTGGCGTATGCGGTGTTTGTTGAAACCACCATAATGTACAATCGTATTGATTAATGCCAAATGTTGCGTAATGAGAAACAAGGCTTATATTTAGACACATGGGCTGTATCAGAGCTGGGGAACATTGCTTGGACGTACATAACTTGAGGAAAACAAAAACTGTGTCCTGAAACTCCTGCTTTGTGTAATGGACCTTCTGGCCCTAACAGCATTAGATTCAAAATCGAAAGCATTGATTTCTGGAGGCTTTATGAAGTAAACATTTTCTTTCTGTATTTTGTTTGCTGGTAAGCTATTCCAAAAGGAAAAGTAAACTTAATAAACTAATTTAGGAACATATTGACTGCAGCTCGGACAATGACTCTTTTTGGATTGGATTTTAGTTGTAGGGATATTGTTTTAACAGGCAGACTTCTCACACTAACAATGGCCCTTCTAGAAATGAGTTTTCAGGTGCAGTACAGAAAAACCGTAAATCCATTTTCCATTGTTAATAAGCCAATGGAAAGGCAAAGTTATAATGGGGGACAGCTTTTCTTACTGGAAGCCAACATTTTGCTGTAACGAGGTGTCTAAATCTGGTCCTTACTAAGACATTTTGGATATTAGTTTGAGGAATTCCCTTGCAGTGAAGAGCTGAGTGTTCTTGGAAAGAACAGCTACTAGCAGCTAATGACTTGAATCCACCTCCTTGCCATTGCAAGCTTTTTGCTGCAAGGCATTTCAGTAACCTTG